ACAAAAAATAAATAGAATTTCAATAAATGAAATGGCATAATTTGAATACTTACAGTTGCAGCTAGAGTTCAATCACCAGTTCCTCGTGAAATTTTTGTAACTGCTTTATCAAAATCAAATATAAGATCAGATGGATTTGATTTTGATCAAACATTTAATTCACTACAAGAATTTTGTAATCGATTCAAGACAATTGGTTGCTAATGGATTGATACTATTTGAGTTATTCCATGGTGTGACAGTTGTTGTACTACTATTATTTTTTAGTGCTACTCTTTATAAATTGAAGCATCAGAGAAAATAACTAAATAAAATAGATAAATATATTTGAATCAATGATAAAAGAACGAGTGAAAGAGCTAGTTTTGTTATATTTTAATAAGCCAAGTTATCGAAATGGATTATTTTTATGTAGACAATATATCAATGTTGAATAAAATTACAAATTCATTTCGTTACAAAAAAATGCCACTTTTTCTATTCCATTTATATTGTGAAACACGATCTGAAAGGAGTGTTGGAGTATATGGGAGAGAAATTTGGACCTCCCTCCTTCACAGACTGTGACAAATGCCTTAACAACATTCTCACTTTCCATCAGAGACTGTGCAAGGTCTTGTTGATATTTGATCAAAGGCTATATGTCAATGACGTCTCGTTCTAATATAACAAGTATTTCTTTATCCTATTTCTGGAGGATTAAGTGGAAAGATGACGAAGACAAGTGCCCAAAAAAAAGATAGAATAAAGCAATCTCCTTGTGATTAGCTAGAGCAGCTGCATCTTATTTGGCACTTTAATCCAACAAGAAATGCGCTAATAGCTTTTTTCTATATTAATTTTCTATGACATTAGAACATTCATGGTTTCCCTCAATGTTTACAACTACTTCAAATATTGGTTGGAAGTTGGTCATTCAATCATTATCACTGTGGTAATATTTTATTTGTTCATTGCAATATATTCGGCAACGATTTGATTTTTATCAATTATTTCGTTATGCTCATTATGTATTTTTGGCCAATATTTATTCTTCTTGTTATTCATGCACCAAATTTTTGGAAATCGGCTGCTAAACCGATATCTTTACTTTTTGTTTTAGAAAAAAATTATTTATTCACACGACATTTATCTAAATATGGTCGAATACATTTGATTTCAGTACGAATAGGTGACACGACACATGAACTCTTGATAGTTGAGGTTTTGCGAATTAATTAAGCAAGACATAAAATCAACATTAAGTCGCTTAGTTCAATACGGAAAATGCATGTATATATACGACGGCTTATGATATTGATGATTCGTTGATACTTACCTTCGTGGCTAAGAGAGTCATCTTTACATAGACGAACAAGTGTTCAAATTAATTATATTTCATTTGTTCATCGAGTCTTCATTACTTTTTATCTCATTCTACTATTTTTGTTGTACAATGTGAATTATAAAATCTTTAAAAAACAAGGATGTGAGTGCAAAGACGATCAACACCCACCCCGAGCAAGAGCTCTGTTCAATTTTTGATGTGAATGTAGACTTTTTCAAATAAAACTATTTTCTTGTATTTGTTTATTATATTCCTTATGTCAGGCTCAAATATTAAGAGGTTCATTTTGCCACCTGATGATTCTCTTAGTCGAGATGAAATCTAGATCATGGTAGTTGTGACATACATGCACACAAAATGGTGCAAAATTTTTAATAAAGACTCATCTGAAATTCCGAATATGTCACAAAATTCTCTAATAAAGTCTGCACCTTTTGATGCATGTTTCATAGTTTCAGAAGAAATATTTTCAAAAAAAATTATTTGAAGTAAAAAATATGAAAAGACTTAAAAACAACCTTTCCTGACGAAGATATGTGATTATCCTTTTCTAATTCAAGACAACTTGATCAGTTTTAAATCTCAATTTAATAGTTACATTATTTTGTTCGGAGTTAAATTATACATCCGATAGTGTGAGAATGAACATTTCATACAGCATGTTTCGCATCGGAGAACATCATTTACTGAAATATACCCGAAAATACTACTAGGTATTAGTTCCAAGCCCTCTTCTCTTGAACGATAGCACCAGGAACCTTGAAAAGATTGTAGAAGCAGAGAGCATGAAATTATCTATCCACTGCTGCTAAATGCTTTAGTTTTAGAATCAATCTTCATGAACACATGTTTACATGAATCGATAGATATCTGCAGAAAATAGCAAATCGTAGTTTAACGATTAAGGAGGTGTTAATGTTTTCCATTTTGATCTGACAAGAAAAAGTTGTTTGAAAACAAAAGTTGACAGTTTTGTAGGACGAAAAACGTTCTATCAAATGGGCATAGAACGAAGTGCTGAAAGTGTATTGAAGTGTCTAAAACAAAGAAAATAATTTTCTCTCGTTTAATCTGCGCCTTCCGTTATTCAGTTAATGTTTCACTAAAAATCCAACTTTACAAGACAATTCTTTCTCTCTAATCCAATCTCGTTTGATCTTTATTTCTAAAATCAAGAAGAAAACTGTCCAATGAAGAAATAAAAAACTTCATTTCAGTTCGATTCCTTATATACTAAGAATTTTAATTGTTGATAAATAAAGTCTACATTCGTTAAAAAAAACGTAGTCTTTCGTAAAGGAATTAAATTGATTAGTGCGTGTCAAATCTATGGTATGCTTCAAGCTAGATCATTGGCTCATAACTTTTAAATGACCAATATACAATTACCCATGCTAGCCCATGCCCACAAGTACATGTACGTGCGAGACGCTCGGTAACATGCACACGTCCATACGCATACTTGTACGTGTATTCTTGCGTCTCTGACGTGACGTATAGTAATACGCATCGTAGCTTCCTAATTGCGACTGAAAATGAAGCCAATTAACACATCAGTGGTCGCAATTCGGGACACATAGAATAGCGTTGATCTCATGTTTAATGTGTTTCCAAATTACGACCATTTTTTAGTTATCAAACGATCAGCAGTTTTCACTACAATCTTTAGCGTCTTTTATAACATCAATATAACGATGAGAAACAGGTCGTAAAACTTTTTGATAGGCATCGAAATCTTTTTCATAAATATATTCTTTTTTTTGCTAACAGAAGTTTGTTATCATCTTGGATATATCTTCCTTTTCTTGGTCTTGTGATTCGCTTTTGTGCTTGTTCTTGTTCATAACGACATATAACAGATTCTTCTGATGATTTTATTTTATTAATCCATGTCTATAAATCAAGATTTGTTCTCATCTTTGAATTTAATTGTCGATGATAACCTTCTAAGTGATTATTTGTACATGGCTGTTCACCAATATTATTGAAATGATTCTACATATGTATAGGAAATCGAGCTTCTTTAACGTAATTTTTTATAACATAATCAGTTAATTTTTCTAATTTTGAAGCATAATCGCAGAGTTCATTAATAATCTTTTCCATAGAATGATTAATTTCATTTGAAGACATTAAAGATAATGCAATAATATTAGCAATTTAACGACAAATATTTTCATGTTTTGATCATTTTACTAAATTACGTTTTCTAACTTTTTTCCATATATTTTGAGCATAATGGAAATTGTATCTTTTTACTAATGCTTGCGGAAATATATCATCAGTTACATTAATCATACCTTGTTGAAAATCTATTAAGATTGATGATAGATCTAATAAGATATTTTTTTTGTTAGATAAGTAAGTAATGATTGAAGTAATTCATGATAACATTTTTCTGATTTTTCTTAGCAACATGAATCAACGATTGGTTTCATGCTAAACTCGTCCCATGCATGTATATGATATGATTGAGAGAATAGTACAGTTGATGTTCTAAAAGTTTCATCATCATTCCAATGTTGACTTTTGCTTAACAATTTTAATGCTTGCTCTGATGCAAATGCTATAATTTTATGAGGTGTTGCTGAATTACAAAATAAAAATTCTTACTGTGTATTGTTATAATGCATATCATCAGGAATTTTAATTGACGGCAATGAAATGGGTGTTGGTGGTAATATTGTTAAACGAATAAAGTATAGTGTCGATTTCCATGTTTCGACGACTGATATTAGAGCAGCTGTACCATTTTCATGGCGCTAAACAGAATAAACACTATCATACATATGCCTTGCGAATGAAACAAATTAAGTACTAACAAATTTTTTTACTTCTTCTTCATAAATTTTTGTAACAGATTGATCTATATCAGTTAAAATTCGACGTTTCAACCCGGGAAGTACAACTTGAACATTTTCTGGTAACTTCGGGTCATAATTATGACTTTCATCATTTGATTTTATAATTATATTATTTTTCAGAGTAATAGCGCCAGTGTACAATTTGAAAGTGCAGACATAAATTAACGAACCATTCTGATTTTCACGTTTTAATCGATATCAATAATTATTATATAGAATGGCTTTTTCATCTCTTTCAGTTGTCGACCAAGTAAACTTTGTATTCATAATTTGATATGTGGTATGATATTGTCTTCCTCATGATTATATATTAATATAATCAATAAAACACAACTCTTAATCTAATACTGCAAGAACTAATTAATCAAAGTTGTTGCAATTTGAAAACGTATAAAAATGAGATTAACGTTATCCTCTGTATTCCGAATTGTGACCACTGGTATGTTAATTGGCGTAATTTTTGATCGCAATTAGAACATAGCCAATGTGCGTAGTATGACGTACGCGCATCTAGTATGACGAGATAACATGGATAAATAATAAACATTATCGAGTTTAATCTCATCTACTCATAAAATTTCTTCAAAGTGTGTAAGTGAAGAAGCATATTGAGTTTTACAAGAAATGATTGAACATTTCCTGATTGTTTAAAACTTAATTTTCTTGTTTATTTATCTAATATCTTGTTTAAACAAGGCGCAACTAAAAACAAACAAACAAATCCTTTATATAAATACAAGACAATTTATAACTAATGAAAATGTCATGAATTTCATGTGAACAAATTTTTATTTGTTTCTCGTTATTTTCTATGAAAGAATATCTCCAGCTTGTTGTTCAACTAATGTAGACATTTGTTTAACATCACTTGTCCATTGATCTAATCGTTTTTTTAATGTAGCAACTTGTGTTAAATCTAAAACACGTGGTTTAACCCAATGCATATTTAATTTTTGATCAACTTCATCAATACTTCCACGTATTAAATCTAATGATAAAGCTTTCATAGCTAATAATTCAATTTGATCAATAGATAATTTGGTTCGTGTAGCAACATCATTAAAACTTAATGCACGTGTACCACCTGCAACAAATATCATATCCATAAGGCAAAGTAATGTAATTTTTTTTTGTAATATTATTTCTGCCATACGTAAATCAGGTTGACTTTGCCAAAGAGATCTTAATGCTTCAAATTTTTCAACATCACCTATATTAAATGCCTGTAATAAATCAATTAACCATTGCTCACGTGTATTTTTAAGTGCATCAAGTATAGGATGTTGAAGAATTTCACCAAAATTATAAACATTTTCAGCTAATAATGCAGCTAAACCAAGATTAAATGCACGTTCAGCTTTTTCTTTTAACGGAATTAATGATATATCAATGCAACCTAAATGAATCAAAAGTATTTTTCTTTTTTTTACTTTTCTTTTTTTTTTTGTATTGATTATTTAATTAATTTTACCAAGATATTTAAGTGCATGTTGATAATATCCATTATGATTTCCCATAACTCGATAATAATTTGATGCTAAATCATAAAATCTTGAATGTACTGTTGTTAAATGATCAAGTTCATCAAATTTTGGTGTTAAATCTTCAATAATTTTTTTTGTTTCAATTAAATTTTTTGTTATTAAATATGCTTTACCAATAGTTATATCACAAAGTAAAACAGCTAAAGAATTATTTTTAACTTTTTCACGTATTTGTTGAATAAATTCAATAGCTTGATCAACTTGTTTAAATGTACGTGTTATAGGTATAATTATTTCAACTAATGCTAATTGATTAATACGATGTTCAAAATCTGATAGAAAATTTTCATAAAAATTTTTTAATTGATCACCTTGTTGAAGGTCATCACGATGAACAAATGGTTTTACACGTAATGTTAATTCATGCCATAAACGATTTTGATAGAGAGATTCAAGTTCAAGCCATTCATTAGCTAATGAACCACCGACTAATTTTTGTTCAGATAAATATTTTTCAACACGAGATGACATTGAAAACGATCTGTAAAATAAAACGAAAACAAAAAAATGTTACATATCTTCCGTTCAACTCGCAGCATTATATGTATTAAAAAAAAAAAGGGAGAGAAAGAAAATGATTGGACTATTGACCTTATTCAATGAGTATAGAAAAAAAACAGGTGGCGTAACAAGACTGTACATAGAAACTCAAAGACATGATATGTTAGTGTATAATATGTTTGACTTTTGAAAGTAGCAACCAAAATTATTGTATTACTATTAATGTTTGCTTATTATTCTGTGTCTGCAGACATGATAAACTCGAATTGATAAGTAGACGTAAATGGTAGCCTACATTGTAAGTGGTGATGAAGAATGAAAATCGTTCAAATTTATTGAAATTATCAGCGCTTGTATCGTATAATCAAAATTGATTTCTATGTTGCTATATAGATATCTTAACCAATCAGAGTTTATAATACTTATAGATAGAGTGCTCTGTGGACTGAAAATTGGAATAATTTAAAAAAGAACATTCTATATGGATGTTTGGAACGCTTCATGTAACGTGCTGACAATTCGTAATTTGAGAAAATTTTTTTTTCATCATAGTTGGATAGAACTTGTCAATTGTATTCTAAGATTTTGATTATCAGAACTTCAGTTCCGAAAGAAACGCACATCATATTCAGAATGAGCCTAAAAATCTACATCGAATATTTTACTTAATAGTCAAAATTTTGGATCTTATACTTCCTCATAATTATTTTCGAATACTCTGCTCTGTGCTTCATCCAACTTTCGAAACTGAAGTTCTCATGATTAAAATCTTAGAATGCAAATCCATATTTATGGTTTTTTTGCTATCATATTGAAAAAATCGATTTCCTTAACAATCAAACAAAATTTTTCAACAAGCGTGCATCATTGTTTCTTAACTATATATCAAGTAAAATCAAAAAATATATTTTTAAATAAATATTGAAGCTACCAAGATATTCTAAGTTTTACTACAAAAACAACAACATTTCTATAGGTAACTCAACGAGCTCTATCGAACCATGACACAAAAAGCGCCGAAAAAAATTTTTTCTCAAATTTCGAATTGCCGATACTTTCAATCAAAGAAGTCTATTAAGAGTTTAGATAAGCCATTGCGCTTGTTTGTCCAGTTTTTTTTCTCTAAACTTTCGGAAAAAACCTTCGCTTATCGGATAGAAAATTTAACAGTGGATTATATTAATGAAATAATCATCAATATTCAGAATCTTTCAGGCGAAGAATAAGTATCGTAGAAAGCATGATTTTACAGTAAAAATTACTCGAAAAATAAATTTAGAATAAAAAATCCTCTTATTTCCTTTTGACGATGGAATATTTATTTGTCATAAAAATAAAATAAAAATAAAACAGTAAGAATTTCTATGAGTATATGAAGTGGCAAGAATCGTTCAAAACAAATCAAGTAAGTCATGGTGAAATTAAATATTCTGTTATGGCAGGTATTGTTGCAACATATATATGTTCCATCATGTATCTTATTAATGCTGACGAGACATAATTCGTGTGAACACCACCAGATGCTAACATACAACCACGAATTGTCTTTCCATTACCGACCGGAATCCGAACGATAGAAGTCCACTGTGAATTCATATTGCTAGCCGGTGTAGCTCGATCCAGAAGTATTATAAATAAGATAGTTACTATGACCCTCAACATTGGCGACAATATCCCAATGACCTACTAAATCTGGTCCGTTCTGTTTGGAACGTTCATAGATAGTTGCTTCCGTAATTGGTGCATAATTGTACGATGTTCTGATGGTCTGAAGCGAATAGAGAATGAAAAAGAAACTGTTTCGAGGAAATATCATTTATTGATATTCTAGAAAGAGGATCCAGGGATAGAACATGATTAACAAACAACGAATGCAATTTATTGCTTGTCACTAAAGAAAGAAAAAAAAACATGATTTTACTTAGTTTCTTTGTTTATACAAAAAAGAAACGTCCTATGTATTCTACAATAAGCAAATAACCCAGGTACACAACTGTGTATTGATATTTACTGCAAGAAATGCTTCGTCAAGACAGTCTCCTATTTATGATGAAATGACATGTTGTCGTTTTATGACATGTCTGGATTAGGGTATGGAAATCAATCGAAATTATACGAGAAAGTGAACTATTAGCTCTGTTCACTATTTGTAAATGTTGACTTGATGCTAAACCTCGGTACTTAACAGAGTTTTAATGAAATACAAGAAAAAAGATCTTACATATTTTTTCATTTTGATTTGACGCAGTTGTTGCTAAATAATCAATTGTGACTACATTATTCATTGTTTATTTATTTTATTATTTCGATTATAATACGTTTCATAAAGTTACTGTTGGTACTTTCCAATTGATTATTATCTTATATAAATCATTAGGTAAATCTTAACATTTCTTGATTCATATTTATATATTCGTAGTATGGTAGGATTTTATATCCTCTTCGACTAACAAGGAAACCTCTCTAGATGCTAAAAAGCGTTTGAGCTCAAATTTCGTCCATAAGTAGGCGATGAATAAACTAAAAAAATCCTAGGAGAATATGAGCGCAAGTTGTGGTTCGGCAAAGATATTGACATTTTACTGTAATTTTCTTGGAACATTTCACTTTCCGGTAAAATCAAAGTTTCGACTTTTGATCTGAAACTTTGTCCACATCAAATCATCAGTCAGCCTAGCTTGTCTACAAAGTTTCAGATCAAAAGTCGAAACTTTGATTTTACTGAAAAAGTGAAGTGCTTCGGGATAATTACAGTAAAACGTCGATATCTCAGTCATGTCGCAACTTGTACCCATATTCACTTAGGATTTTTCTAGTCTGTATATCGCTTACTTGTGAATGAAATTTGAGCTCACAAGCTGTTTAGCACATGGGAAGGATTCTGCGAGATGAGTAGTTTAAATTGAATTAAGTTTATTTATAGGAAAACAAAAAATAGATGAAAGAGAAGTAAAAATGTTTTCAATAAATCAGTTGATCAATGTTAATTAAGTTTTTCATTACTACGAAAGAAAAAACAAGAGAGATTATCTATCAAATAAATTATTTCACCGATATTCGATATATTTATTTACAAAATAAAAACACAAAAAACTGTTTGTTTTTTACGGCAACTATTGTTTATATTTATCCAAGATTAATGTTGTTTAATTGTTTTTATCATATAAAACTTGATCAATAACAATAACAAGAGCTAAAATAAATGCTTGATCTTCATCACCAACAATTTCAACACCATAAGTATCAGATAATGAAAAGAATTTTTTGTTCACTATTGCCACTGTTCGTCCATCTTTTGTTAATGTAAATGCATGAGCAAAAATATCAAGACCTTCTAATGAATATTGACCATAGGCAGAATCAATCTTAAATTTTTGACGAAGAAATGAAAATTTCTTTTTTATAACAGCTAATGGATGATCGGAATCACCAGAACGAGCAGATAATATATTGAAAGTTGGATGAAGATGTAATAATTCTTGTTGAACTTTAATTAGACCACTAATAAATAGAGGAAAAAAAGAAAAAGTAAAAAATAAAATTCATTGGTTTCTATCAATTCATTTATTCTACAGATTCTACATTAGTGAGGTACTCAAGTATAATGGTTATGCATCATTAAGAATAGTATTCTTAACATGATCTATCATATGTATGAGTATAAACTTTTGTTTTAAATATGTAAAGCTTATCATCAAGTAAGAAATTTCTTTTATCTATATGAAAATATTGAATTTCGTAGACTGATCAACATCGAATAATTTTAGTTGATATGCTTGTTTGTTTTATTTACTTACTTTCCAGCCATATCTTCTAGAACAAGTTTATCACCAATTGAAAATAATTTTGATCGAACTTTGTATACATCTTGACCCATTTCATCTTTAATTTTAAAATTATCACCAAGTGAAAATATTTTTTCTCGAATTTGATATCGACGAGCAGGCATTGCTTGTCTATATGAATCTGCTGATGGATATGTAGAATAAGCCATAATAAAATATATCTTACAAATTTTAGTGAAATATGTCACAAACGAACTATATAAATAGTTGATGTCGATTTACAGACTTAAATGCACAATGAAAAATATTGACGCCTTTGAAATGACTAAGACATACACAAGTTTGACGTCAAGAAAATGATGCCCTTGAAATAGATTCATTCAATATTAGTCATACAATGCATCAAAAGCAAATATTGATGGCGCTGAATTCACAGAACAAGAAAAAGAAAAAGAGGAATAAAATATGGCGCACGTCATTGACATATTCTTTATTTTGTCATTCAATCGATGTCTGTTTTTTATCATTTCTGTTTTAAAGTTGTTTTTTTTCTATCATAACTCGTGTCTCGTTTATTTCCTACTCAATATTGAAAATATTTCTTTTTATTGAAATTTAAGACAAAAAAAAAAGGATTTTGATTTATGAAATTGAATACTACTGTGGCATCTGATGCTCATGCACTCTCAAATAGCAATATGAACTTATTTAAATTGCAATACATGCTATAACATTGTGCAAATGATACATAGATCAAAATAAATTTAAACAAAAAACTGTTAGCACAATTCCTGCAAGATTAAAATGTGAAATATGATGTAGTTGCTGTTGCTAATCACACGAAGATTATTTCATTCGTTCTATTCTGGGGCATTTTTCTTCTCCAAAAATGCAATAGTTCACAGTCTATTACTGCCTGTGACATAGGGAAGAGGAAGTTCAAATTTCTACTCCTATATTTCAACACTCGTTTTAGATCGTATTTCACAAAAAGAAATATATAGAATGATATGTTTCATTATCAATATGTCACTGACATCACTAATCGATATTCTTGTCAATTTTGGAGTTTTTATAAGATTTTTTTTTTTTGACAGAAAAGAAAAAAGGATTCCTGCCTGTAGGTAAAGTTGAAACAAATATAGAGTGATCAATTAAGAAAAACAAGAATCTAGAAACAACTATAAGAGATCTACGATGTCTTAGAATTCAGGCAAATTTCTTTATTCTCTTTTCCTGAAAGACTGTAGTCTAACATTCAAGATAAAATGATACATAATATTTACATATGCATGTTTATATCAACTAAAGGAGACACAATGCATTTGTTGACTCACTAATGAGTAAAATTACAGTCGATTTTAGAGTTTCTACAAAATACATTATTAAAACTCAGGATTTAGCAATAGATCGATTATTATCGATTTCATATAATGAAAATGAGTTAAAATAGAAATTTCATAGTTTTATTGAAGATAAATTATTTTGATCATTTATTCCTCCTTGGTGAAAATGTCAGATCTAATACATGTGTATGAAATTGTTTTTCTTTTCTATTATCATTATAAACTTTCTAGATTTCATCTGTTTTTATTTCATTTGAAACTGCATGATATTGAATATATTTTGTGAAACTTGCATATATTTTTTCTCGAACAAAATAGTGAGTGTAAGTTTTAAGTCAAAGTTTTGCGGCTTCCCATTTCAGTCCTTAGCAACCGGGTTGATCATTGATTATGTTTCTATAGCAATCGAGGACAACAAGCGTTGAACGCCTTTCCGCAGAGTTCCCTTGCAACAAAAAAAAAACACTGAACGCATTAGTGTTTCTGAGCTTACCCAAATATATAATAGCGTGTTGAGACCCGCTGTAGATGTAATGGATATGTACAACACGCTTATTTATCAATTAAATCAAATACTTAGAATAATAACAATAATGTTAAATCCAGAAAAACAACGAGCAAATAGTAACAAGACAAACAGAAAATAGAGCGCCAATAAAGAACAGAAAAAACATTTCTGTAAAATGTGACAGATCGTTTCTCTAATAATCGATGATCTTGGAAAAGAACTATAGTCTACAAGAGATTATTCACTTCACGTATTTTGTATTAGCATAATAAGGCTAAAGAACACATGTGAGTTCCATATTTCAATCCCAAAGGGACTGAGCTAACAAACTTTTTAAAATTCTTGTTGATACTGATCAATCATTGTCAGTATCTTCTTTCATTTTTTTATTCTAACAGACTGTTTATCAGAGGTGTCCATCGCGGCTGTATTTTTTTTTCTAGAGTACATTGCAAACCTTCATTAGTTTGCACAGAATTTTAGTGTCCATCAGCGTAGCATGCTGCGACTCGATAAGTCTCATGAATTAGCAACAATAGTTCTAGTTCAATACAGTCGCAACAGTAAAATTCGAAATAGTTTTTTGTATACCATCACAGCAACGGCGCAAAAGTTTCTCTTTTTCTATCACCGCGGCAAGTTTTCAGTCGCAATGAGTATTTTCATTGTTCACCTATGATAAATGATGAAAGTTAATGAACAAAATCATCAACTGGTGACGCTATCTTATATTTCAAGTTTACTACTAGGAAAATTTATATCGCATTGTATATGAATTAAAAACTTTGGCCTGACGCAGTCTAACAGACTCCAGCCGACTGTCAAACTAGCAGCTCTGATTTGAACATCAGATAGGCATAATTAACGTCTAGATTCGCATAATAGTAGATTCTTCATCAATTAAAAGCTCAGAAAAATACTCACATTATCTAAAGTTAAAAATCATCGTCAATTACACAACAAATCGATATCATTGATGTATTCTCAATAAATAACATTGTATTCAAGCGACATCTATCCGCATGTTTTGATTCGATCTTACTAGTAGTATTGTGAAACGTCTGCTTGACTTGTTATTTTTCTTAATGACTCTTTTGAATGAGATCGGATAATTCTTCATATAATAGAATTCGATTTTAGAGAATAGGAATTTCATTCAGATGACTTTGAGTTGTTGCTACTAGATAATAAAAAAACTTATGTAGATCATTATCTCGAAATGAATCAACGAATAAATTCATGTTAAATTTTACAAATCGATTTATTAATAAAAACTATTACCCTTTTTTTTTTTCTTAATTTTAATTCTTATTTATTAGAATAAATCGTTTGTACTTTTGATTTTGTACTTTAAATAGAAAATTAATTATTTTTATTTTCAGACAAAAAAATTTTTATTATTTCTTTTTAAAGAATTTTTAATATGAGTGGTAAGTTTTACTTAATATAATATTTCTTTATTCTATAAATTATTTACTTTAGGTAAAGCTAATCCACCTGAATTAAAAAAATTTATGGATAAACGATGTAAATTAAAATTAAATGGTAATCGATCGGTCACTGGTGTATTACGTGGTTTTGATCCATTTATGAATTTAGTTATTGATGAAGCTTTTGAAGAGCTTAAAACTGGCGAAAAACGTCCAATTGGTATGGTTGTTGCACGAGGAAATAGTGTTTCAATGATTGAAGCACTTGAAAGACTTGCTTAAAATTAGTGAATTATCTCTTTTATTCATATTGTTGATGTTTCTTTTTTCGTTTATATAGACAAGATCATTGTCTTTGTGTTTTTTTTTGTACTTGTTTCCTCGTATATGTAAAAGATAAAAAGATCTCGAAATAGCTTGAAGTATATGTATATATTACTGTTACTAGATTAATAGATCAAGAACTCTATTCGATACTTTTGAAAACTGATAAATCGAGTAGTGATCACTGTTTCTGAAAATCAAACACAATATAATATTGGTTTTAGGCTGATAAATCACGAATAATTTAAATAATGAAAAGTTCGATCATACGGTATGAAAGTAGCCGTCTAGAATGAAATTTTATACGAGTTATTAAAGATTGACATAATTTGAGATGTGCAATGTAAAAGGAGTTGACACTCTTTTCATAGATTATACTTTCCTCTTTACTCTTTTTTTTTTGTCACAATATGAAAGCATTAAATTAGACATTGAACATTTTTAATCTTACGAAAGGAGTTCTTCAGTTGATTATTCATTTTTAAAATGTCCATCATCATATATCGATAACGCAGAATTTGGGCACATAGTGACACAGCAGATTTTGTAGAGCAAAATTTGTTCTGCACATCCATATATAACACTTTTTAGGGGAGTACTAAATAGAGAACTATTTTTGCATGTCAATTTTATCGTGTAATAGCATATATACCTATAACTAGGTTACGTAGGAAACAGTTTCGTGCGGAAATGGCCTGTCTTTGGTACTCCCCTAAAAGTGTTGTATATGGACGTGTAGAACAAATTTTGCTCTACAAAACCTGCTATGTGCCAAAATTCTGCGTTTGCGATATATGATGATGAACATTTTAGCATTATTTATACTGTATTTGTATAGTATTACCTATATTTCGCATTAATTTTCTGAATCGTTGGTTGATCTTTTTAACATTACAATTTATAGCGGATCTTTTGTTATCATTAGTAAGAAAATCGACTATGTTCTAAAATTAATTGGGAACTTCCTTTGTTAGCCAAAGAATCCACAAAGGATGGCTTCCATAATAAAATTGATTGTATTTCAAGAGGTTGACTATCGAGCGTTGGTACATATGCAGACTACGCATAATACTCAGCACAAGGTTGAAAAAATATATCCAAAACTCTATTCTCTATCAAAATTTTATCCGTAGAGGAGTAGAGGAAAGAATTTAACGAATAAAAAGCTAAAGCGAGAGTTAGGATTAAAATTTTGATCAAAAAATAGCGTTCTTGGTATATTTTTTCAATCTAATTCAGGGGTGGAACCGGTTGAGAAATATTAAAACGGTCCGGTCCGGTCCGGCCGGAAACCGGCCGGTTGGAATCACATGTCCAACCGGTGAAATTCCGGTGAAAACCGGTTAAAAAATGTCGAATCTTTTTTTGAAAACCGATTTTTAGAAAAAAATGGCTCCAAATATGAAATAGTTTAAGGCGCAGATAAAAGACACTCATCGTAATGAACCTTTTTAAAGAGAACCTCAGAAAAAACGATTAATATAACATATGTTTTGAGCACTTTTTTACGTATTCTGACAGAAAAAACATGTGACACCTTAGTTTTTATGGTCAAAAACAGGGTTAACAAAGAAGATTTTTGAAAACTTTCAACCGGTGAAATTCCGGTCTTTACCGGCCCGGTTGATTTCTTCAACCGGTCCGGACCGGTTCCAACCCTGATCTAATTCCGAACATCATGCTTATTCCGCATAAATATCAACACTCGAAATATAGTTCTTGATCTACTTGTTCGAATACTTTGTTAGATAGTTTCGTCTACAATGTCTATCATCCAACATTGATCGAAAAGATGAATATACTTATTGAATTTTATTATAAATAAAAACAAAAAAAAAGAATTTTTGTTAGTAGAATTACAAAAGAAAAATTGATTAGAATATTTGAAAAATATTTATATTTCAGAGTATTATCACAATAGTATCGTATCTTCATTTTCATTATTGTCCAATTCTATATAAGGATTTTCAATAGTTGATGTGATTTGAATTGACTTATGAATATTAAGATATTCATCTTTTGCTATTTTCCATGCTTTTCTTTCTTCATGAGTAAATGGTATTATACAATTGTTTCTTACATTTGTTCCATTTAATTCATCGATTATATCAACAAAATATGGTCGTTTAGTAATATTTCCATTCCAACAACGATACATTAAATCATATATACTTTTTGAACATCGTTCTGGTCGTGATAATCGACGACCTTGTTCAATTAAAAATCTTTTTAATAAATAAATACTTTGTTGAGAATTCGTATGAATATCTGTTTCATATGGTATAGCACCAAATGAATAGATTTCCCAAATAACAATACCAAATGACCAAACATCAGATAATGATGAAACAATTTGTGTTCGATCAAAACATTCCGGTGCAGACCAACGTATTGGTACAATACAATCATTTTTTTCAAGTTTTAAACCTTCACAACGTGATAAACCAAAATCACTTAATTTAATATATTTTTCATTTTGTAATAGAATATTTCTTGTTGCTAAATCACGATGAACTATTTTATTATTTGATAAAAATGCCATTACTTGTGATAATTGATAGATCCAATGAAATCCATTAATTAATGGATCTAATGAATGTGGATCTAATTTTTTTAAATATGAATGTAAATTTCCCATTGGTAAATATTCTATAAATAAACGTAAATCTCTTTCTAAATTATGATCACAAAGAAATGTATGAATAATTAATGGATAATTTTTAAATTGTTGAAGTAAAATTTTTGATTCATGATCATATTCATGATGAGTACGAGAATTATATTCAAATGAAAATTCATTATTAGAAATAATAATTTCATTTTGTGAAAGATTATTTAATTCTTTTAATCGATATTCTTTATATAAATCAATATTTTTCTTAGGTAAATAATCTTTAATAATAATAGGAAAAAGTATTGTATGATCTAATCGAATTTTTGCTAACCATATAAGTCGTTTTTCATTTTCATCAAGAATTTTTGCTGATTGTATTTGAAATAAATCAATACGATTTATTGAATTAATGTCTTCGACAGTATTAGTAGTAATTTCTTCATTTTCAATGTCAGGTTCTTCATCATCAGTACTAGAAATAAATCAAAGACAGTATGTATTAGATATGAGCAAGATGGTTCTATTTGCATCGAGACCGGAGTTAAGTTTTTTTGACAGGGCGGGTCGGAACAGAGCCAAAAATGATTAGTTCCGCTCATCAATAGTATGTATAGATATAGTAGCCATTTGGGTAAAAAACTATTGAATTTATTAGGCATACCTTGTTAAAGTCAACTGTTCATTCGGCAACCTTTTTCAAGATTCGCCAGTAAATAGCACTGATAAACACGATCCAATATGATAGAACTTTTTCACTTGGCTACTAGTCTTTTAACTCCTGTTCATCAATAATCAACAGTTAAGGCTTAACCACTTTTACGAAACTTCGTTAAAACGTGTAACATTACTGTCTTTGCTGGAAGGATTTCTTCTTTGCTTCTGTCTATAATGAACGGCCACTCGATAATGTGTGTTACGTCAAATGGAGAAAAAAAATATTACAAAGCATTAGCAAAATCATTCGATGGTTATCTCCTACTAGAGCAAACGTCACTAAGTACTCGTAAATCTTTATAATAGGAAGCAAGAACACGATTTTATTTCCTGCACAGACCAAAGCGTTTTGTTCCACAAACTGATGTGTTCAGTATAATCACAACGTGGATGTCATCTTATGGTATGACAGATTCAACTGTAATGGTAACCCTGCATATCTCTACTTTGCAGGGTTTTCAAAACCTTCTGACCTATTTCTGTTCTTTCTTTTTCTTTGTCGCTTTACTCTCCTGTCAATCAGCGTAACTTACATATCGTTTCTTTAGGAGACCGCAATGATTAGAGGGCAATAAAAGATTTTACAAGAGAAAAAATTGTTTATGTCTATTTTCAATTTTTTTTCTCGTACTATGTGTACTAAGAAGTTGCAATTCACTCGTATATATAGTATATCTTAAGCAGTCCGTACTGAAATGAATATTTTAGTGTATTGAATAATTTACAATCTTTTGATTAATATATAGAGTTACTTACATAAGTCCCGATTGATCACTAGGTAATATTAGAGTTTGAGCATCAATTGTTATCATTTCATTATTTTCCTTTCGAACAAAATTTCGCAATAAAGTTGGTAATATACCTTTGTATTTAGTATGATTATAAATCAATTCATCAGGTGATTTAAATAATATGACTTGTGTTTGATCATCTTGTGCTGTATCAGTTATTAATGAAAATTTATAAAGAATCTTTCGTGTTGAATTTGATGGATATGTAATACTATAATTATGTCTTTGTGAGATAGGATAAATATATATTTGTCTATTATGATGAACACATAGGCCAAGTTCTCCATTAGGTTCGATTTTAGTTTTTTTCTTTATTTGATATAATAAGAAAAGACCTTCACTTTTAAAGCAATAACTATTATCATATTTTTTAAGACGTAAACGAACCTTTCCAAATGTATTAGGACAAGTTAAATCAGTCAAAATAGTTTTCGCATCATTACGAGATGATACTTCCATAGGATGTAATTGATTAAATTGATATTTATTACAAAATATCTTTATACATTCATATGCATTATTATTATATATTTTAGCAATATCAAATGGTGTTTTCCCATTATGTGTTAAAGGCATCAAAGAACATCCACATTGTAGAAGATACTTTGCACATCGTATGAGATTTTTTTGTGTTGTTCCTTTCGACATTCTAAAAATTCAAAAGAAAATAAGATGCAAAAAAATTATCTTTAGAATTTTAACAAACGCTAAATAATGAAATGCTGATAGATTTGATTCATAACTAGCATCTGTAGTTTTTCTACAAATATATTCAAAATAAAAAAATAATATAAAATATTCACAAAATAATAAATGAATTATACCTTGAATTGACATAATGTGGATCAGCATTTAGGTCAATTAACTTTTTTAATATTGTAGGAATACCTTGTCGACATGTATAATGTAATGGTGAACAACCTTCTGTATCCGTTATATTAACATTAACTTTATTATCAAGAAGAATATCAATAAAATCATACTTTTTAAAAAGAATAGCTAATATTAATGGTGTTTGACCTTGTTTATTTTTTCCATTTATTTTATTTATTATAAACAAAGCTTTTGTTTGTAGAGAATCAAGATCATTTTTCGATATTTGAATAAGTTCTTTAAAACATAGTACTAAACCTTGAGTAGCTAATTCATGAAGAATAGTTTTTTGACAAGTCATGCCACGAACTTCATCAGGTAGTGGGATACATGTTACAATCGTTCGATCAATCGGTCGGTATAGACAAATTCGAAATGGATATTGTAATTCATAAAAATGATTTTCTTGTTTATGTTGAATGAGTATATCAATACCAGTATATACTCGTCTTACTTCAGATCCATGACCACATCCTATTTTGAGAAACAAACCAGAAAACAGAGATTATTTATTGCGCTGTCATATGATTCAATAATTATTTTTAAAATAAATAAAGTTTCTAATGATCTTTCGTCTTCAGACATACAAAAAACTTATAACAAGTTTTCATAAAAATCAGCACTAATGGGTTGATGGAGGTTCAAGATTAAGAGAAATCAACATACAGTTGTAGTTTATTAAATTGATGTATGTCAAAATCTTAGAATAATGACTGAGATTAAGACTCAATAAATATTGTTCGAAATATCATTTGTTGTTCATTCCTCATGTTTGTCTAGCATTGATTTGTAGTATGTTAGTGTGAAGCATATTTACTTTATCGGTTAATTTTTCAATCTTATAGAAGATTAAGTATGTTGACTGTATGCATTGATAACTAATAATTGTATCAAGTTAAGACCATTAATGATTTTTTTTTGTGATCGAATTTTATATGCAATTACGTTGCCATAGACTACTATGTATATTCAATAGGTTCAATATTCTATATTGATTTTTCTTGAAACTAAACAATTATTGTGCTAATTATTCCTAGTGTCCAATTTTCTTGTACGGAAGTTTCTATACTGAAAATTTTAGTTCTCAACATCTATTCATGTACTTACCGGTGAGAAACCAAAATGTTCTATGTTCCTTATCACAACAGATTGGTACTTCGACAATTTGTTTATGAGCAACAAAATCAAGGAAATATTCAATGTTCGATGTTCGTTCGTTTTCTTCAGCTGGACGAACAAAAAAAGTTCCTGTGTACATATAGAAAACAAAAAATGTAAATTTTAAAATTAATTTGCTAATTGAATTTACCATTAGTAGCTTGTTCAAGTTGTCTACGTGCGCGTAATATTGCAGATTGGTCATTTATATAATAAAAATAACTTACTTCATTTCTTTGTAATACATCATATTCATTTTCGATACATTGGCGAAATTCTTTAATTTGTTTACTAGATAATGTTGATGAATATGTTTTTGATGTCATAGTACTAGCAGATTCATATGAAGTATGACTTTCATTAGATGATAAAGAATTAGTTTTTTTATTTGATTTTGATTCATGATTTGTTTGAAGATTTTGTAGTGAATCTTTTGATTTTCTAGTCCGTTTTCCAACATTAGGACGATTAACATTATTCACATTCATATTTGAAATAATTGAAGATTCAAAATCAGAAACAGAATCTTCATTAGATGCTATCTTCTTCATTATTGTAAATATCTAATATGCAATATGTTTTTGAAAAAAAAAACATTTAATAAGAGACATACTCGACACAGTTGAATGAACAATGAATAGATGCATGAAAATAAATGAGATGGTGCTAAAGACAATTTTTAGATTTTTTTTTACCTTTTTCTTCTCACAGATGACTAATTAACTCAGGTGTACGAAATAATCACAATAATTAGCATAGAAAACAATAAGAGACATATTATTTCATTTTGTTCATGGGCAAAAAATATGTAAATATCACATTTTGACGAAGATAGTATCTGCATAAAATCATAATTTTGTATTTTTCAGTTCTATTTCATTGTTAAATATTCAAATTTTAAATTATTCACAATGGACAGAAAATTATTTCGAAATAGATCAACAAGCAAAAGTAAGCAAGTCTATTAGCAAAATAATTCTTGTGTAAATGTAGTTCTTCTTTTTCTACTAGCCATGACTGAATGAATATGATGTTTGTCATGTTGTACGTCAAAGACACTGTTTGAATGGCAGCGCTATCTAATGATGGACAAATTTTGAACAAGTTATTTACGAATATTGTCTTGGATCATCTGTTCGTTAGTATACTTACTACATTTTGACTGCTACAATTTATCCTTGCGATATGTTTTCTGAAGATAGCCAATATATTGATATTTAATGTGTATGAGAAGTTTTATGAGCGAGAAGAACTTTGCGACAGGCCAAGTATAGAGATAAAAATTTGAAACTTCTCCTACAAATTGTGACAGTCGTTATTGATATAAGACAGAGTCCGAAACGAACCGGAGTTTTCTGGTTCGGTTCAGTTCAAATCGTATAATTATGCTGAACGAGTGCAATAGAACCGTAACTTCTAGTGACTCTACTGCCTATCAAGTGATATTTTTGCTTTGAGAGAATAAGAACACTTGTGCACTAATTTGAGATGTTTTTGTTTTCTAACTTTATCCCTAGATAGTCCATTGAAGGCTGTTCATGGGATTGAATAGCAATGACAAAGAAAGAAAAAAATAGTTCGCTATGCATTAGCTTGCGACCGATTTACCAATCGTTACGATATGCGACAATTAAAACTTGTTCTCCTTTTTCAGCTGATCGGATAAAATATATATCTATGAATGTGTATTAATAATCATTTTCCAGAATCATATTTCGAAGTTGTTCATATCCTCATGCAGTGTCAGAGGAATCCTCAATATAGTAATAATGATATGGTTTACTTCGTTGAAATGCATCATATTATCATTTACAAAATCTTTCAACCTATGTCCTACCTAATGGTAATGAGAATGGTTTTGATGAAGTACAACCCTTTATGAATAGAGGTGTAAGTCGATCGGCTGAGCCGTCGCTGTCACAATATAAAAATAGATATTACATTTTAGAAAAATGTCAACATCTAAGTTCATTCTTCAGGAATGTTCTTTTCAAGGCTTGTTTTTTAAAGATTACATTCTTTACCATCATTTTTTTTCATTTGAAAATTTTCTTCAGTCAATAAAATCTTGCAAAACAAATATTGAAAACTTTCAATCACTGCTGAAAGCCAAAAAAACCAGTCACCATCGATTTTGGCTTACGTTTCTATTCATAAAATAAAAGTGAGTTACTTTTCAAAGTTTCTTCACATAATAATTGCAGATAAACTACATAAGATTGTTGTAGTATTCATTATGATTTAAAGAAATAAACACGATAAGCATTTAAATATATATGAGTAATGGGAGCTTGTAAAAATGCAATACTAGAAATACAATGGTTATCAATTACCTTTACCGTAGTCATCTATAAATAACCGTCAAAATTGAAAAAAATGAAAGAAAGAAAAGAAAAACAAAGAATGCAAAAATGACTCAAGTTACCAATTGAATATGTCGATTGATTAGTTTCTAAAAAGAAATTCAAAATAAAAAAATACTTACGTTTCTGTAGATACATCATTTCGATTATTTTGTAATACAACATCAAGCACAATTATCAAAAAAAGAAAGAAAAGATTTGATTAATAATATGATAATTAAATTTTTATTTTTAACAATGTTCTTACGACATCTGTTTTTTTGCTAATATAAGATTTTATTTATTGGTTAGTTTGTTTCTCTGAATTAGCAAAAGGTTGGAAGTCAGCTGGAGCAAAGAACAAATAATATACGCAGCTTGTTCAAGAAAGTCAATAAAATAAAAATTGCTTTAGTGTTTCCTTTCTTTTTTTTTGTTGTTTTTTATTGTATAATTGTCATATTTTCAGGTTCAACTCCGTGCATTTACCTATAAATCAACGTAATGCTTGGCTGGGGTATTAATGCCCATGGTCAACTTGGTCTAGGTCCATCAGCAGTAACAAGTTTTATTCCTACACCACAACGTATACAATTTTTTAATGATTATACATGTATACAAGTTGCATGTTCATTAACACATTCAGTATTTTTACTTGATGATGGAAGTGTTTATACGGCAGGAAATAATGAATATTCACAATTAGGTCGAGAAGGTCGAACGACTGTACCTGGTAAGATTTGACATGACAAAAAAAAAGCATTGTTTGTTGTGTATTTTGAATTTATCTTTTAGAAAAAGTTATATTACCTCAACAGGTTAATGCTGTTCAAGTAGCATGTGGACAACATTTTTCAGTTTGTTTAACAACAAATGGAAAAATAGTTATTTGGGGTTCAATAAGTGGAAAAGTAACAAATGATGATGGATTTTTTTATGAAAGACCTGAGTAAAATTTATTTTTTTGTAATAATGAATAAGAATATATAAATTGTTTGTTAATTAGATATTTGGGAGGATTTAGTGAAAAACGAATGATACAAATAGCTACAGGATATACTCATTGTCTTGGATTAACAGATGTAATTATAAAAAAAAAATTGATTGATAAAATATAATTAATTATATTTAGGATGGAACAGTCTATGCAACAGGAGTTAATGCACATGGACAACTTGGTTTAGGACATAATCATGATTGTATTCGTGCAACTCCAATTGTATGTCTTCGAGGTAGTCCAATTGTTTTTATAGCTTGTGGTGCATATCATTCATTGATTGTATCAAAAAGTGGGTAAGTAAAAAAGAATTCGAAAGAATATTTTCATATATACATATTACAAAATCGAAAATTTTCTTTTTACATAGAACTGTTTTCACATGCGGTCAAAATTCGTAAGTATTTGTAAAATAAAATATGTTTTTTTTTTTGTATTTTATAATATGAGTATTAATTATAGATCAGGTCAATTAGGTCTTGGTGATACTGATTCTCGTATATGGCCAAGTAATGTTAAATCATTACAACAACAAAAAGCTACATATGCATCATGTGGAGAAAAACATTCAGTTGTTATTACACTTGAAGGAGGTGTTTTTTCATTTGGATCTAGTTCACATGGACAACTTGGACATAATTCTACAAATGATGAATTATTACCAAGAAAAATATCGGAATTAATGGGTTCAGAAGTTTCACAAATAGCTTGTGGAAGGTATGTATTTTTTTTTGTTTTTTTTATAGACAAAGACTTATTCATAATTGTTTTTTTCGATTCTATTCTTATTTTATTTCATCAAAATTTATTGACAAATGTAAATGAATGAAATCTATATTTATGAAATCTACACATTTCTACACGTCATACATCTTCTCTAGTTGTCAAAGATATATGATTGTATAAGGGCAATAGGATAATGTTTTTTTTCTTTATATAAATTGCTATTAGTCAACTATGTCAACAAATCTTTCTTCACTTAGCAACAAAACATTATCCTTTTTTCGATTAACTATAAAATAAAAATTTGTATTGATGTCAAATAAAATCTTCTATTGTGTTATAGGAATTTCGGCATTGACCTCATCAACCGCTATAAAAAAAAAGCCTTATTTCTTTAATTAGTTCCTATATTTCATAGTACTGAGCAGAGTACGATAACTATAAATTCATACTGTTTACGAGGAAATTACTCCAACTGATGCCGAGCTTTCGATTTCGTATTTTGACTACAAGTAGGTCTCAGTGAGGCTAAGAAAATAAGATAGCTCCATTATTGTTACTGGTCTGTTATAAGTAGGGGTGGGAAGTTACCGTTACGTTACCAAGTAACTAGTAACTCGCAAGTTACTAGTTACCGAGTAACTAGTAACGTCGGAGTTACCAGTTACCAGGTAACTAGTAACTTCGGAGTTACTAGTTACTTTTGGTAGGTAACTTGTCTAAAAAGTGGAGATATCGCTTCCTAATGAGTGAATACCATCATTACAGTACTTATTCAGCTCACGAGTTACCGAGTAACTAGTAACGCACATAGGAGTTACTAGTTACCAAGTAACTCGTAATTTAATTGAGTGATGAATAGATGATATTCAGTCATTAGGAAGCGATATCTCGACTTTTTAGACAAGTTACCTAGCAAAAGTAACTAGTAACTTCGAAGCTACTAGTTACCTGGTAACTGGTAACTCCGGCGTTACTAGTTACTCGGTAACTAGTAACTCAAAAGTTACTAGTTACCCGATAACGTAACTCCCGGGTAACGGTAACTTCCCACCCCTAGTTATAAGATTCATTTCCCTAAAAAAGTCGCTTTTCGCCAGAATCATCCAAAATGAGATAAATTCATGGAGAAATAGCTCGTTATCTGTTCTTTCATACCGCGACAAAAGTTTTTATTCGGTACCTCTTTTTTCCAAAAATCCCGGAAGATTGTCGCCACCCCCTATTCGAAAATCATTTTTCGTTTTTTTTCAGAACGTGGGTTCAACGACATAGTGCCAGCAGAACTCTATATCATAGTAAAAGATAAAGTTAAATATTTTTTTTGTCTGAAAGCTTGTGTCTAGCGCTAGTCTTCCTCGTGGTCCTTTTTATTAGCATATAAGAAAGCAACTTTATAAAAACAGCGTCATTTTTTTATGCGTTTTTTGAGTCATTAAACGTGTCATCCCTTTTCTTTGCTCAGAAAGTAGGAGTTTAAAAAAAAGAGCCACAAGAGGAGCTAGCCCTAGACACAAATTTTCAAACAAAAAAAAAATTTTAATGTATAAAATGAAGGTCCAGAGAGAAATCTTGGCGGTATGATTCAGCTATTTTGACCCTTGTTTGGTGAATATTTTCGTCAAACGTCATGATATAGGGCTGAAAATTTTACCATAGTCATTGCTCACCAGTCCCAACATATTCTGAAAGTGTCATGCTATTTGATTATCCCTGACCTGTGATCGATTTTTGAGGGGGTAGCCTTATAAAGCGGATATTTTTTGAAAATTGAATATCTCAAGAACGAAGCATCCGTTTTGGTTGAAAATTTTAGTATATGCTAGGAATCATTAGACCTGTTTACAGACAGAATATCCGACCGGATTACCTTCATTCAACTTTGCTGTGGATACCGTGCCATAGATTAAAAATTCAATAAAACGGCTATACCTTGGAAATAGCAGCACATAGGCATGAACACTTCTAGGATTTTCTTAGTCTCACTAAGGTCTATCTATAGTCTAAATATGAAGTCGAAAGCTCGGAATCAGTTGAGTCAATTCTAATATTCAAATAATAGCAATGAAAAATTTTCTATTTTAATTTAGATCTCATACAGTTATATTCATGCCAAATGTTGGTCAAATATCTACATTCGGATTAGCTTGTGCAGGTCGTGTAGATACAAAAATAACAACATATGCAACAATACCACAAAAATTAGCAATGCCATTTTTACCATATAAAACAATGAAACAAGTAATTAGAAATTAAATATAATATTTATTTAAAAGATATTCTTTTAATTTTTTTGTAGCTCCATAGACAAATATCAACAGATAGAAGTCATACATCATCAAATCGTAAATATAGAGTAGGAGAAACAAAACCTGTACAAACAAATCTTCAAGTTATTGGAATATATGCTGGTGGTCATCAAATATTTGTTCGAATTTCTTCTCGAGTTTGTTTCTTCTTCGACAAAAAACAAAACAAGATAAATATTTAATTTAGGCACAACGTCCAGATGATTATCGAACTTTATATACCAGTCGTCCACTTCTTGAATTAAATCTTGAGGTTGCTAAATGGCTCAGTAATGTTCCTTATAGTGCAGATACATTTAAAGATGTTGAAAGAAAATTATCTCGATTATTTAATACTGAAGCATGTTTAAATGGTTCATTTTTATCATTGCCTGATACACATTTTCGTACATCATCAAGTAATCCAGGTATTGATCTTGATCAAGTTATTGCTGTTATGGAAAAATTACGTTCATGTGATCCAAAAATTCAAGATTTGGTTTGTTTATTTACTTTTTTATTTTTTTGATTCAATCGATATTATTTTCTTGAATAGTTATTTGAACATATTCAATCAATACTTTTAACATTACCTGAAACAGCTCCATGTTTTGAAGCATTACGTATTTATCTTGTTTTACCATTTTGTCATATATTTGAAAATGAAGAATCATTTGAAACTGTCACAGCACCATTTGCACAAGCTGCTACACGTTTAAAAAAAACAGCTGACGGAAGAGTATTAGATTATTGGATATTACATATTGGAAGAAAATTTGTACAAAGAATAATTGAAGTAAAATATAATATTTTAAAATGTTTTTTTTTTTGTTTTTTAAATGATTTTATTATTATTTTAGTTATATAAACCTCTTGTTATTAAAATTATTCAAATAAATAGTATGGGTTCAGCTTTGGCAGCAGAACAATATCAAACAGTTTTAGAAGCGATTTTGGAATTATTAAAGAAAGTTCATAATGTAAAGATTGATTAGATTTCTATACTGAGATTGACAAGAGAACTGCTCGAAAGGAATAGAAAAAAATCTAAGAGAATATATTACGATTAGGAAGAAATATTGAAATATTGGATTTCGACTTGAAATTCTGTCTAAACCAAGGTCTCAGCTAGATTAGTTTATATGAAAAAGTTTTAGAACATTTGAGCGTACTATTGCTGAGATATGATTTTCTACTCTACAGATTTCGTGCTTATGAACAAAATATGAGGGTAAAAGTGATGAGTCACTTTTCCCGTGTAATTTAAGATAATAATATCGCGACAATTTTCTATCAATATTCGGAGAATATATAGTGATCCAAAAGTAATCCGACAGTCTTTGATTGTGAATAACTTTTAATAGGAACAAGATAGAAAGCTACGATTTTCACCGTTCAAAAGCGAAAATGAAGACGCGTCGAACCGTATAATATAAGATAATTTGACCTAGGTTTTTTCAAGGACTTTAACCAATGTACTCCGTAAGGTGACTACACTGAATGTTTTTATGATCAAGTGTGCATTCGAAAACCTACAAAACTGTGCAAAACTTAGACTTTGAGATATTATATAAGTATTCTACTCGAAATTCTGAGCCAATTTTTCTATTAATTACTGTGAAAAAAAAATCACTTTTTTGCGTTTTTCTTATTTTATAAGAAAATTGATATCTTCGATACATTTTCATCTTCTCTCTTTTGAACGGTGAAAACTGCAGCTTTCTATCTTGTTCCTATCAAAGACTACCAAGTTACTTTTGAACCATCCTGCATATTTCAAAACTACATATTTTTATTTATTTATTGAAGACTAATGAAATATTTATCATTTTAAAAACTTAATTAATTAACAAAAATAGGTTTCATGCAATATGGCTAAACCAGAATTAGTACAACATGATGCATTTTATATGAAAGAATTGAATGATATGATTGATATTAAACGTGATTATGATTTTTGGCAAGCACGTCGATATTTGTCTATTGTATGAATATGCAAAAAAAAAACAAAAATATCATTTAAAATTTCTTTTTATTTTTCATAATTAGGATAAAAAAATTGTTTCATTTTGTGATTATGCATTTCTTTTTGATTTGAAAGCTAAAATTTGTAAGTTTAAAATTTCTATTTAAGAAATTTTATATATATTGTTTTTTTTTGTTTTTAGTATTACTTCAATATCATGGTCAATGTGAAATGCAAGAAGCAATTCGTAATGCTTTTATGCATAATTTTCAAACAATGATGGGAGCTCGTGTAGAAACAGTTAATCCTTTACTTATGTTACATGTACATCGTAATACCATCGTGCAAGATACAATTGCTCAAGTAAATTATAGAGAAAATAAAGAAAAATAGAAGATCCCTCGAGATCTTCTATCATATTCAAACGTACAAATTTGTTTAGAGAGTAAATTTTTCTACTAAGTTCCATTTTTAAGAAATTAATTAATTGAGAAGAGTTTTATGTTATATCTAAGAATTTATTTATAAATTTTAATTTTTTTTTTTTTTTTTAGTTAGATAAATATAAAGATGATGATTTTAAAAAACCATTACAAGTTTATTTTCATAATGAAGAAGGTCTTGATGCTGGTGGTATACGAAAAGAATTTTTTCTTTTATTAACAAAAGAAATCTTAAATCCAAAATATGGAATGTTTAGTAAGTTAAAAAAAATAATAATAATAATAATTTAATTAAATTAATTCTCTTTCTTTAGCTATATATGAAGAAACAAATACAATTTGGTTTAATGATTTTTATCATGGAGAAGAAGAACCAATGTATAAATTAATTGGTGTAAGTCTATAAATAATTACAATAGCAATATTGACAGTTGTATCAGTACAAATATAAAAATGCACTCAAGAACAGAACGACATTCCATTATATAAACTATCAACCAGACATCACATGTACTACCATAACAACATACATATATTGAAAAAATTTGCAATTATAGAATTTATATACTGACATGTTTTCGAGCACATTAAGAGACTCTCCTTAGGAGGTCGAAATTGAGTTTTTATTATAGAAAGATGCAACGAAGCTTTCTCTTTCAGAATATATATGGTTTTTTTCGAAAATGATCAGATTTTCAAAGACTTATCATATGAAAATTTGACTCGGCTATCGTATTTTCAGAAAAATTTTTGTGATTTTTAGAGTTTTGGAAAAACTGTGTTATTATTTGCATTGGCATTGAATAGAACATTTTTATATTAATCAGCATGCCAGATGGCGTTAGCTACCTTCATCTATGATGTACTTTAAAACGATTCACTGGAATATATCATTGTAACATGATTTATTCTGGATTTGAATGCAAAAGTCAATTTCGAAAACTTCTTTAGCGTTTTTCTCAAAACATGGTTTCAAGGCAGCAAAATTGAAATAACTCCCACTCGGTTCGGGGTATAAACGATGACTTTTTTTTGTTTTAAAGGTCTTTATCAGAGCTAACGTTTTATCGGACGGATTTTTGATACTGGATTCCTAGACGGAGAAAAGTGGGAGGAAGGAACTTTCAAAATTCTATTCGATGAAAAGTTGCGCACAGAGGCTAACTTTCATTTGAAACCAGTCGGAGCTCTATACGCCTTATAACGACGGAGTTATTTCAATTCTCCTGAAAGGTAGAAAAACAAGCCGAAAGTTCGGTCTAGTCAGGCATACCACAAGCGTTTCTCACTAGAACCGATCATTCCTCAAAACTTCAGCCTAAACGGTCCGTTATAAGTGGTAAATTAATTCTAAGAAGATCTTTAAAAGACCTTGTCGGATAACATGGTACAATAAGACCTCAAATCCTATTAGAATATATTGATTAGCAAAAAACAAAAAAAAAATCATTGAAATTGAAATGTAGCAACTCAGAAAGTTCTCTCTTCAGCTTCGATCATTCTTTGAATTTCTTCTACTGTTAAAAAAAATCCATTGAATTCAAAATATAGTATTGAACTTGATTGAAATTCTAAATCCTTATGATTTTGGTTTTTTTTTAGACACTCTGCGCATTAGCTGTATATAATATAACAATAATTGATCTTCCATTTCCATTAGCTCTTTATAAAAAATTATTAAATAAAACAAAAATAGATCTTGATGATATGAAATCAATATCACCAACAATATATAACAGTCTTAAATCATTATTAAATTATAAAGCAGATGATCTTGAAACAACACTTTGCTATGCATTTGATATTGAACGTGAACATTATGGTGAAAGACGTCGTATTGAATTAAAACCAGGTGGTTCATTAATAATGGTTAATCAAAAAAATAAACAAGAATTTGTTGATTTATATATTGATTATGTATTTAATAAATCATGTGAAAAACAATTTCAAGCATATTCAGCTGGTTTTCGTCGTGTTATTAATTCAAAACCACTTGAATTATTTTATCCTGATGAATTAATGTCATTTGTCGTATGTTTTAAAAATAATATTATTTTTCAATTGAATCGAATTTTGTTTTTAGATTGGTAATACAAATTATGATTGGAATGAATTTCAGAAAAAAACAGAATATAAAGGAGAATATCATGCCAATCATCCGGTGATGTGAGTAAAAATTTCTTTTTTTTTTTTTTATTTAAAAATTTTCATTTATTCTAGTCAATGGTTTTGGCAAGTATTTCATAAATTAGTTGACAATGAAAAAAAGAAATTTCTTTGTAAGTATTTCGTTTAACTTCGAGAAATATCCAATTAGTTCTACATATTTATCGTGAGAATTACTGTCTGCTACTGATTAGAATTCAGCAATAGAACTATTTCAAGCAGAAGTTTATTTAACATTTTCATACGTAATTCTAATGAAATCTTTTGAAACCAAAAGTACTACTGTAAGAGTAGTATCCAAACATAATACATTTAAAGAAAGTGTTAAATTCTTTTTTTTGTTTTTTTGTCACTAGTTTTGTTTCGAGTCAACTGAGTGCTACAATAGCTCGAAACAAATCTTTAACGTCTTATTCATAGTTGTAGTCACTCAGACTTCTTGTAGATTAAACAATAGCAGACACTCTCTTCTCTCAAAAAAAAAACCTCGCAATTTGCTATTAACATTATCCTGAAAAGACATAATAAAAAGTGATTTTATTAAGAGAAGATAAACTTAAAAAGTGATTAAGCAGTTAAAGTGGAAGTGATAATAAAGATCTACTTTATAAAAATAATCATTTTGCACCATAGATCTGAAAACCTCAAATTTTATTACTGTTAGTCAAGTTTTATAAAAAGTTGTTATTTTCGAAGGACTTGCAATAGAATAATAAAGAGAAAAAATTTAAATTTTATATTAATGGTTATATGGTCAATGCACTGTTATTATTAACGAAAAAAGTGATCGCTCTGTCGCTTGCTTTTTATTGAATAAGTAAAGTTATACCAGATTTATGTTAATCAAGTCGTGTTCAAAAAAAAAATCATCGACCTTAGTTCAAGCTACTTGTGTTTGGATCATCTTTGTAAAAGAAGTTCAACTTAAAAAAACGGGAGTGCATGATAGAACTCATCTAAAAATCTGGAACCATTTTTTATTTGACATGACTCTTTAAATTATCTAGAAATCTTTGATGATTTATTAGCAAACGAATATAATCTTAAAAAGCTGTTAGCACGATATCTTCGAGATTAAAATCTGAAACACAATGTAGCTGTTCTTACTAATCACGAGAATATTGTTTTATTCGATATATCTTTGGACCTATTCTTTTCATCATCTTTTACTTAATCCTCTAGAATTGCAAAAAAGAAGCAGTTCCATATATTTTCATGAGATGTTAGTGGTATATGATCACTAATCGTGTATCAGAAGCGTCTCTCGCGATCTGTGATGGTCTCTGGAGATCGTCTATGATGATCTCTGAGGTTCGTCTGTGACAGTTTCTAAGGTTCGCCTATCACGATCTATGGTGGTCCCTGAGGACCGTCTGTAACGGTTCTTGGGGACTGTCAGTGACGGTCCTAGAGGCCGTCTGTGATGGTTCCTGGGAGTCGTCTGTCACGATCTGCAATCGCCTCTGAGACCGATATGTGGGGTGTCCAAATTTCTACCCCTATACATTTCAACACTCTTTTAGAACGTGTTTCACAAAAGTTCAGCATGGTCACTAAAACCATGAATGGTTCCTTATGACATCTCTTTCTTTTAGAAGGTATGTAAATCATATAGTTTCTAATGAACTATGAATATTCTGCAAAGAGTTTGGGTCCTTACCTGATTGCTGTGTTTTTGCGATATTATTTAGTAGAATGATGTGATCCCTCTCAAAGTTGGAAGTTTTGCATAGAGATAGATCTCAATAGAAGTAGTTTATTGTGAAAATTTCAGATCTTGTGATTGTTCGTACTTTATCATAAGAACATCGGAATCTACCAATGTGTATGAATGATATAAAAAACATGCGAAAGTATCTGTATAAAGTGTGAAGTTGAAACTCAAAAATCAGTTTTTCTAGTAATTCTGCTAAAAAATTGTCGTAAAAATGCAATATCTTGGCAGTAATAAGCTATAGACTTCAAGACTTTGTAGGATTTTCATAGCTCTTTAGGATCTATATGATGCACATAGTTCCGATTCAACAGCAAGCGAATACTTGGAAGATTTCTCTTGTCAATGTGTTTCAACTTAATCTGTTTTTGTACATAAATATTTTAAAACTCTTAGAAAAATGTTCGATTTAAGTCAAAATCGCGTCTCCTGACTACTATGAACGCACTTAAGTCGATCTGAAAGATACACACGATAATGGATGATGATGTGCGTGTAGATATGATAAGATTGATAGGGTCGATTTTGTTTCCAAACTCTCATTCCATGCACATCTTTCGTATACCCATACAATTATAATTTCTTTTTTTGTTCTTTTAGTATTTCTAACTGGATCCGATCGTGTACCAGTTTTTGGATGGAGTCAAACACTAGTAAGAAAGTTTCTTTAATTGAATGATATATATATTTAATAATATTCTTTTGTAGCCAATGACAATTCAAAGAAGTCATACCGATGATTTACATTTACCTGTTAGTCATACATGTTTTAATGTCCTTGATTTACCATCATATTCATCAAAAGAAATTCTGAAAGCTAAATTATTTCAAGCTATTCAACATAATCAAGGTTTCAATCTCGTTTAAATATCTATTTTTTTAACAACAAATTTGTATCTATTCTTTCACTCATATAAATGATTAAGCATTTTTATTTTTTATGCTTTTTTTTTTTTATTTGTTCTGAGTGATTCCTTCCTTTATCCCTTTTTATAACCTTCATTTTGACCAAACATAAGAACAGAATTTCTTTTGTGATAAATTCTTCTATAACAACTAATTCTATTTTTTATTTCTATTTTTTTTTCTTTTCTTTTCTTTTTTTTTTTTTTTGTTTTGTAAAAGAAAAATCTTTCTCTTCTGTTTTGTATGAGAAAAAAAAATCTCTAATAATGTTTAAAAAAAAAAGAAACAAAACTTTTTATTGTACGTATGAATAAAAATATAATAATAGTTTTATTTTTCAAAAAAATTTCATATTTTAAATGTTTGCTGTTCATAAATATTAATTGTTTGATTGAATATCTAAATTTAAAAAAGAAGAACAAAAATAAGAATTTGAATAATGCTGTTAATAGACAACTAATAAGAAAAATTTATTCTCAAAAAAAGAACCATATTTGAATATGACGAGTGACCTTGAAATACAGGAATTAGTTTATTAGCAAACATGATCTGAATAAGAATGATAATGCGAGTGAGTTTTACTATTCCTTCGTGTTGTGAACTCAAGTGAATGTATCCATACTGTTGAACAATGTATATTATATTCTCTCTCTCTTCGCTTCTTTTCAAACCTCATGATTCTATGATGAAATGATCAATTAATCAGAGTAGTCTCGTTTCTCGAAACGTAACACGTATGAGATCAATATAACTTTGTCCTTGCTAAAAAAAGACTGCCTCAATTGCTTAGGAAGCTACGCAAAAAAATAATAATAAAACGCTTCTCATCATTTTCTATAATTCAGATACAATTAGCAGACTTTTCTCCAGAGATATTATCATTTTTGTCTTCCATCTACTTGAACTAACTCCTACGAACTCTTGATTAGTAATTCACTAGTTGAAAACAGGAAACGAAGAATCAGTATCAATAAAATTTATGGATGAATGATTCGAATCATTCTGTCCCGATAATTAAGAATTATGTTCATTATGAGAGGTTTTACAGTAATTATACATTTTCTTCTCTTCAATACACTTGATTAAGCTAATTTTTTTTTTTACTAAATGAATAAGCCTTGAACTTCTTACTAAGCAAAAACGTAATGCCGACTGAATTAACATGTGAAAAACGATAGGTTCATTCCACTCGGAAATCGAAGTCTTATCCACGTCAATCATAGAATTTCTTTGGGTCGAATCAACTAACATAGTCTATGACGGGGGGGGGGGGGGAGACGTTCAAGTTTCTTGCTATGTACTTCAACACTCATTTTCAATCATGTTTTACAGAAAGTAATGATTTTCTTTAGTTTAACAGACTCTTCTCATTATTCTATATAGTGAAAATAGTTTTAATCTAAAATTTCTGATACAATCAGTGAATTTCATCTTCAGATTACGTGCAATAAAATAATCAATAAGTTTTCACTTCAATATTATTTCCATTTCGATATATCTTCTACGGCCAACCTAATTGGATATTTCCATGTGTAGTCAGTCATAAAAATCAACGATTCTCAAAAAAAACCTTCTTGTCTATTAGACTGCATAAATGAATAAAGTTTATAAAGATTTGTTTGATGTCGAATATAGATAATTTACAGATCATAGGCATGGCGAATTATTTTTTTTGTTTTTTTGGATAGAAAAAGATTGAACCAACTGTGATACGAAAAATAAACATAATTTTCCTATGTTTATTACTTTCATATTATAATTGATTGAGTTTCTCTCTATTGAAGAGAACCATTTTATCATGCCTATGATCTGTAAATTATCTGTATTTGACATCAAACAATCTACGTAATTTGTACAGATAATTTTTATCTTAACGAGTGTTAATTTTGATGTAAAATCTATTATTTATAGTATCTAAGAATATAGAACTATTCTCGGGAGAAAAATATTATTACGCATTCTATATTGATAAGAAAGTAACATTTGTTGTTTAAGATGAAAATAATCTTTTACTCAAATAAATCAGATAAAAAAAAAAAAAGACTTACTTTTATAACGATTATTTTCATGTTGATATTTTTCGTTGATTAATGAAGTATTAGTCGTTATTAATCCTTTGTGATTTTCTGTTACATTAACAATACAATGGTTCATAGGAATATTTGATAATGTATTCGAATATAAAGTACGTCGATGTAAATCTAAAAGACTTCGTCTAACAATTGATGGAATTCGTTTAGGATTTAAATATTGTTGTGTTGATATTGATTGTTTAGATTTTGTTTCAATATGTATTCGATAATCTTTATGACGTAAAAAATTTAATGAATTATTACTTCGTTCTAATTCAATTCTATTTGATGATAAAATTTGTTCCGATTTCGATGATTTTCTATTTAAACAAGTTTCACTTGGATAACGTATATGAATTGTCGTACAAGGTGATACAATAATAGTTGGTTCTGATGTAGAACGAATTAGATGAATAGATGATAATTGTTTTGATTGTATTGTATTAGGTGAATAATGTCCACGACGTATCGGTGTATTTAAATCTATTTTATTTTGTTTAGAATAATTAGGAAGTATTGATGGTGGATTACATATACGTTCTAATTTTCGTGCTAAATTTATAACAGCAAATAACCATAAAGCAATTATAATTAAAACTAGAAAAATTTCTGAAAGACTCATTTGATAAATATTTTCTTCCATAACATCTAAAACTAAAATTAGAATATTAAATTATATTTTTCTATCTATGTCTTGAAAAGAAATGAAAATACTTAACCTTTTGCTCGATCTATAGTACTCTGATGACAGCTTTATACAAAAGCGAATACATAGATTAATTTATGCATCAGAAGTCAAGAGTCAATAATTTTTTTTTCTTTTTGTGTCTTTATATGACACAAAAGATAACATTAATCATGAAACAAAAACGAGTACTTATTACATGAAGTGATCCTTCATTTTGACCAATGTATTCTTAACAATATATAGATTAATTTTGAGATTAAACTCATAATAAATTTTAAATGTAGAAATTTATCATTCCAAACATATACAATGTTACTTTATTCATAGAATGTAACCATAAATACATACACATAAATATATATATACATAGAAAAACTCTTAAGGCACAACAAAATACGATACTATTATTTACATTATAACAAAGAAAAAATAGCAATGGTTATTTTCAAGAGTCGACCAGATGTATTATGAGCCCAAACAAAAAAAACTAGGTCGATTTTTTATCTTTTGATTACTTACTCAAAAAAAAAAGAGTTCGAATATATATATATCTTATCTTTAGCATAATAAATATTTGTATCGAAATGCTTTAAAAATAATATTCAATTATATCTTATGGATCTTTTCTTTGCTATATATAAATAGTAGTTGTGACATTATATTTCTTATCATTAATTTCTTTTTTCTTCTCTCTAGAAAGATAGTCTCTTGCGTAAATTATATATATTTATTAATACTATGAGAAAAAAAAAAAATTAAAGAATTGTCTAGACTAAATATATTTATGAGTAATCATAATATTCAATCTTTTTTTTTTGTTTTTGGGTTTCTACTCTTCATATTTATGAATAAATAGTATTGATTGATGTTATTGAGTAAATAACAATTGATGTTAGAAAATATCATACAATTTCTATTACGCATATGTCAAACGATAAAAATTCTTCTATGACAGACGGAAGTTATTATCAGATTAGGTGATTGACAATATCATAAAAACAAACAAATAATAATGTTCGACTATTGATGAAGAGGATCATCAGGTTTTGTTTTTTTTGAGCAAACAAGAGCTATATTAAATAGTTCGTAATTAAATATATGAAATAACATTCTTCCTATTGAATATCGAAAAGTGTCGTATTTGTTATTATGAGATAAGATGAACCTAGTTGAAAAGGTTTAATTGTCAAATGCAAACAAAAAAAAAACACAGACAAAGTGTATTAAGTAAACTAGTTATTAGAATGAATGCACATCAAACATTTAGAATTCTTAAAGAATAATGATAAGATAAAAACTATCGAGATCGTTTTCATCCTTTTCTGATATTACAAACTTTCATGACATGGTTCGAATGGATCTTTCAATTATTATTCGAGATTAATATCGATTTTAATTATCTAAAACTTTAACCAATTCGTTACATAGATAGTTCTACAAAAGAACAATTTGTTATCAATAAAATTATTTTATTGTATTAAAATTCGATTCTTAATAATCTTCCTGCAGTGTCCTCTGTATCGAATCCAATACCTTCCGTATGATCATTTATTTAAGTTTTGATAAAAAAAACAAAACACGTAATTTGTTGTCTCTTTTTTTAATTAGACATATTAGATTGAGTATTAGTGATAACTAATTATACAACATAAATATAGATAATGTTGCGCGTACATAATTCATAGGATACCTTGTAATGTGCAGTGTTCTTATTAGAATTAACTTAATTTTGATTATTTATATTATGCAAGTGTTTTTAGATTTTAGAAGATGTACCAAGAATACAATGGATTTAGCAAGTATTGGTATCTTCAAAAATCAATATATACCTATACAAACCAAAAAAAATGAAATTGAAAAACATCAAAGTTTATTCATTATTTCGCTATTTTTTAAGAAAAAACGAGTCTTCTCTACAAAAAAAATTGGAAGATCTCTTCTAGTTTCCCAACCACAATACATTTGACTGAGCTGAAACTTTTCTCTACTTATACTGGAAAGTGTTTAGGATGTTTACTTTCATTTTTTGTTTAAAAATATGGTGTATCATTAGTTTTTCGAAGGGTTTACAAAAAGAAGGTCTAGTGGAAATAACCACGAAAAAACATGCATTTTTGAAGGTGCTCTCAGGATTTTGATGCTTTTATTCGAACGAAAGGAGATTTAAAAAAAGCAAGCTACCCAAACAATGTTTAGTAGATGTAAAGAAATTTGTAGTCTTATCGGACATATTTTTGCTGAAAAAAGGGAAGCAACAAAGGAAGCCCTTTTTCGTTCTTGTGAATTCAGTACCTCCTAGAGAAAATCATCCGTAAATTTCGGGTCTATGCCACCGTTTGCTCTACACATCGAAAACTATCCCTCGTGAAAGCTTCAAATTTTCTTATAGGTTGTGCTCTATCTAGCCTGATTTTATTAAAAACGAAACGAGTAAAAAAAAAAAAAGCTTTTTTATCAGCCGTGAATAGTAGTTTCATTTAGTTGTAATATTAAACTTGTTTTAGAGATCGAATTTAAATATTTGTTTTTTGTGTCGATCACATGTTTAAAAAAAATGTATAGTACAGTAAAATTATTCCATCATTTTAGACGTTTAGAAATGAATCGATGCAAAACTATCGCTTGAATAAAAACAAATAAATTCCTATCAAAAGTTTATTTTCTATAATACATAAAAATTTCCTAATGCTAAATCTAAACAGTCTTCAATTCAGTTGTTGAATCAAAAATATTTACATTTATATATTAACTACCAAAGTTTTCTAACGAGGATTATTCTGACTATTCTTCTGTTGTCTTGAACAATAGAAATAATCCAAATAATAATTCGAGTAGAGCAAACTATATACGAGAAGAATATAAGAAAAAAAAAATGTTTACCAAATTTCCAAGTTGGGATCTGTAGAAACCGAAATTCTTCATTATTTTTTAGCACTTAGAATGTGCAAATATGATTTTGTTCACACTACACAGAATGATAGAGCAGACGACATTCGACAAAATCACTCGTCTGATACACCCACACTCTCTGATGAGCCATGAATATCCTGAAAAGTGTTCGACCTTTTATATGATTGCTATGGACATACTGTATTTTTACCTCAATCGCACACTCCCCCCCCCCCCCAGGAACACTAGCAAAAATGATTTTCGAATTTCGATTTGAAACTTTGTACAGAAGCAGATCATTGTGAGAATCATCTATTGTGAACATTTCATTTTTTTTCATGTTCCTATCATAAGACACGGTTCCGGTAAATGTATGCCTTTTACGTTGTTCATATACACTACAGATTTGATGTTCTTATTTCAGGACAAGAACAAATCAAAATATCTGAAACTTTCATAATAAAGTATTTTCATTAAAGTCTGTTTCTGTACAAAGTTTCAATTCAAAATTTGGACATCAATTTTGATGTTGTTCTTGCGGGAATCACGGCATCGAGTTAACAAATACCGCAAAAGTAGGCTTAGGGTTTGAACACTTTTCAGATGTTTCTTAACTAATTAAAGCCTATATGATGCATACAGTCTCGGCTTAAAAGTGATTAATCAGTTGGGACACTTCTTTTGTGAGACACAACATTCTGATTAAAGGTTCAAAATCGTATTTTTCATAGAAAATATAAAAACTGATTCATGGGTTTCCCTAAGACAGCTGTGTCTCAGCTAAAGGGAGTCGTAAAGAATACGAAGATGTCATATTTCGTACATTATTATTTTCGATATCATTTTGTAAAGTCTAAACAAAACTATATTCACGCTCTGTAACTCTTAAACAAAAAAACTAAGAATTCAATTTTCTTCAAATCCCATTTTTGAGAATGTGATAATCATTGTTTTTGTTTTCTTCTATTGTTTTCTCTATTCATATTACTATTTAGATATTTTAACGTTGAAGTCAGTAACCAAAGAAAAACATTTGAAAATAAATCTTTTTGAAAAATTTTGATAGTTGCTGTACATAAAAAAAAGCATACTAAACGATGCATGTCGTCATTCAATCCTTTCGTTCTGTATGTGGGTGTGATCAATCTACTACCTCCACATTATGTAAAGTGCATATATAACTTACCTAGTCAAATAGAATATTGTGGCTATGTTTGATTGGTTTAATGAACAAGATATATCGTTTCGATAAGATATAATCATTTCATTAAAAAGTAACTCAATATTATTTTGTTTTTTTTGTCGAACAAATGGCTTCACTTGGTTTACATTTATTAACTCTTATACTTGGAGTAGTATTTATTTTCTCAGGTCATGTTAAATTAACACCACAATTTTTTCCTGAACAACATACACATATAAAAAATGAATTTGGAAAATATAATAAAGAATTTCCACTTTATCATCAAACTGGTTGGCGTCCATATGCAAAAAATTATCGTATAACAATTGGTATAACTGAAATAGTTTGTGGAATTTTCTTACTTCTCGGTAAGAAAAAAACAAAAAAATAAAATATAGATAAAAAAAATTTGCTTTGTCTTTTTTTTTTTGATGGATAAATTTTAGGTTTTTCACAAACATTAGCAACACTTGTTTTATTGATGGTAATGATAAATGCGATAGTTACATTTCAAAAAATAAATTATCCCATAGAATATACGGGTATATTCGTTGTTGTTTCACTTTTACTTTTATTACGACTTGGTTTAACAGCAAGATCAACAGTTAAACAAACAGTTAAATCAACTAAGGCAAAAATTGAAAAGAAAGTTGAATAAATTCAACTATCTGGAAAATAAAAATTTTTATATCGTTTTGTTTTTTATTTCTTGTTTTCTTATATTTGTTGTGTGCTTTTAAATACAAACAAACAAAAAAACTAACAAAGGCAGTAGTATCAAACATGAAGAAATTTGTTCATTTTCATTATTAGATTTTCTTTTTTTATGTTTATTATAATAAAACTTAACGATAATTCTGATTTGATTTTATTACTATGATCATTTTTATAAAATTCGATTAAATTTCAATAGAATCATAGTAAGTATTGTGATAATCAATTCTTAAGGCAGCTTTATATATATGTATAATACGAACTGTTTATATGTATGCATTATGATCGAATAATTCAATCGTTTACTTTCAAATGTTTTTTTTTGTCAGTAGTCATTAGTTAACAGCAATCATATTTCAGTAGCATCTATGTTTTGTCTTATTCAAAAATTTGATTGAGAATAATTTGTTCATTTTTGTCGAAGATTATAATTTGTAAGAATCTTATATTTAACAGTTCTTTATCGAGTAAACCATGTTCAGACTGAATATACAATAATTTATTTTCTCTATATCGTATTGAATTTCATGATGTTTTTATCTAGAAAAATATTAGTCACGTATGTATGTTGTTGTTAGTCAAACATATATCAGAGCTATTTTGTTGGAGTATAAATCACATGATTAATTGAAAATGATGACATGGTCAAAATGTTTATAACAGAGATCTTTATTGATTGTCAATGAATGATTATCTTTTTCATAACTCTTGTTATTGTATATTAGTGTATAATCATATGTTTATTCATGCGTTACATGTTTTTTTGTTTTTCGATCCACTTGTCAACAGGGTTACATAGACCCAACCATTCCTATAAATTAATATTTTATACATCGAAAAATAAAAACAAAAAGTGCAGTATGCATGTTGAAACTCATTAAATCATTATCAATAGTAAATTGTGTATCATTGAATGAAATTGCCCGATTGAATCTTGAATGTCTTGGAAAATTTTTAAGAGTAAAGTTCACTTACAAATAGAGATATGCAGAACTAACTTTAGTCTCGATTCTACTGACTGAAATCGAACCAGATTTAAGGATACTATGGATAATGTGGTTTAGTTCTGTTTCATATCTGTAGATATTCTCTTATAGTTACTTATTAAAGTTAACAGAACGCTATAGCAGCGACTTTTTCTGATTTAGACAAACGATAATTACTTAACAAGAAGTATGATAAATTCTCTAGAGAAATCTTTCAGATTCTTTACATATAATCATTATATGAAATCATTACTATCTTCCATTTGAAGGTTAAATCAAAAGAAATGAGAAAAAGTGAAGATACAAATGACATTTCGCATCTATGTCGTTGAGTACATAATACAAATTTTGAAGTGCAATTTTAAACAATGAATCAAACAAGAAATAAAATACTTATTATTGATACAGAATAAAGGCAAATACATAATCGACAGTAGGTAAACTGTAGCTTGTTTACAATGAAAAGAAAAGATGAATAAGCGATACTGATATATTGTATTAAACAATACATGCAGGTATCTTTTCTATATGAAGCTTCACATTGTGATTTACACGATTATTCATCAATTAAGATCAATACAGATTCATTTGTACATCGATCGTCATTGGAAAATATACACTTACATAGTGCACTATAGCACAATATTGAAAGATAAGAAGTTTTCAATGTAATAAGCGTGATTTTGATGATCATTATTATTTGCAAATCTTCTAATACTAACGAAAAAGCTGTTGATATCAGCTCTAATGAAGAAATCATTCGAACTAAAAATCACCATTTGAGCTTATATTATACTCAGAAGCGTGTTTTGGCAGAAGTCGTAGATGCCTAAGAAGATGCGTCTTCATGTACCTTTGTAGTCGATGTATGATCGTTTAACTGAAACATTAAAAACGAAATTTCGATGTAAAATTTTGCCCATCGATAAATACAATGGCTCGTAGAATATTTTGAAAGTTACAAGTGAAAAGGATGATTCAAGCATGTGATCAAAATCAAGTTTACTTGAAAATTCAATATCTCGACAAACGAATATTCTGTTCAGTGAAACTTTCAGGATATTCTACAATTCATTACATCTATCTATGGGTAAAGTTTTCCGTCGAAATGTCGTTTTTTAAGTCGACAGTAACAAAACGATCATAAATCAACTACAAAGACTCACGAGGATGAATTTTTTTAGACACCTATGGTCCTCACCAAGACGACCTTGTGGATCCAATATGAATTCAAACGGCGGTTTATCAATTCAAGTTGTCCTCTTGTAAAATATAAAGTTTTTCAATTTGAGATAGTTCGAATTCCAAGAAAAGTATTATATATTTAGTGTCGAAACTATTCTCCATATTTTCATTTACTATAGAAGATATAAATGATTATCATGATGTTATAAGCAAAAAACAAAATTTCAATGAAAATGATCGGTATTATTACTTAACGATAGGAACAGATTATCTTAAAAAGTGGAAGTGTGCGTGCGGAATAGGTGTACAGAATTTATCGATATGTATCAACATGCACTAGGGAGAAATGTTTCAAGTTTTGGAAAACTATTGGTTATAGGAAATGTTTTTCAATTGGAACATTCGAGTAAAGAAGGGTGTAGGTGTGTGTGTTCTAGTCTTCTCCATCTTTTGCATTTATCTATTCAACATTTTGCCTGTTCTATACTGATCTTTCGATATTTTTTCCTTTTGTTCTTTCTACGATCAATCTGCATCTTTTTGAATTCTTTTTTTTTCCTATTTTATTAATTAATGAGTCATAGTTGTTAACTTTATCCTATTGCATACTATTGGTAATAGCATTCCACACTTAATAATCCAGAGTATTGAGATCAGTACTATTTGTTAGCCTTCTGTGATTGTCTATAAAATGCATGAAATTTTCTTTTACACAATACTAATGATTCCTTATGTGTATGACACAATGTTGTCTTACTGGCAGGTGAAATCGTCGTTTAGGAGCTATTTGCTATCAGATTGTACTTGTGAAAGAACAACGTCAATATAATTTATGTAATAATGTTTTACCACATTTAAATATAACTGGAGACGTAAGACCATTTTTATATGCGCATAACTATACCATAATTCTTCTTTTGGATACTTGGCCTTTTGATTTATGTTTTCTTGTTATCGTCTTGCAGCATAAATACGTTCTAATGAGAAATATTTATCATCATTTACCAAAAATTGATTCTGTTAGCAGCGTCAAAATTTGACCGCATAGAACTTTGCTGATTTTGAAAACAAAAGATCTACAACTAAAACAAGTTGTACTTTCTAGATTGTAGAGCTTTTTACGCGGCATCTTGTAATATATTCTGTTTTGTTTTTCTTAATAAAATGTATTTAGAGATTAAAATATGTAATACAAACTACTGGATCATCCGTTTTTATTTCAAGCTGTATAAAAGACATTTTACAATTATTGTAATTGATAATATTGTACAATGAATTTTTAATTTTCAATCTATCTATTTCATCATAAAGATTTCACTAAACGAATAATTATTTTCTACAAATATCAAACCTTATAAATACAGGGTGATCCAAAGGTCTTGATCATTCTTAGAAAAATTGCTTATTCTTCCTTATTACAAATCTAAAAATGCTCAGAATTGGAAGTCTAATCCCTTGTGACTAGACGAATATCACCTTAAATTTTCAGCTCTCTAGCTCTTATATACCTAGGTCCAACAAGCATGGTCATAAACGGTCGTATACGGAGAAATACTACAGTTTACATGGTCCAGTATTGACGGTCGTATATCGCCGTGACCGTATACGGAGAAATACGGAACAAAACGGAGATCGTATACGAGTATTGTAAACGACCGTTTCTTTCTCCGTATACGGTCACGTCGATATACGACCGTAATACTGGACCATTGTAAACCGCCGAAATACGAAGTCAATAATCGTCGACCTAGATGAACAATAATTTATATGTTAATATACATCGAATCAGAGTTAAAGATATTTAAATAAATAAATATACTATAGACATCTAATTAAACTTAAGATATAATTCGATTCGTTACCCAGTCAGACAAAAATTTTGAAAAACGCGTTTAAACGCACAAACGGGAGCCGCGATTGTAAGTCATTACCGCTCATTAAAAACACTCACGAAAACGCGTTTATTGGTGTTTTTTGTAATTTTTTGGGCGTCAAAACGGCGAAAATTTCAGTTTTTGAGCGCTAAAACACGCTATTATTCTAGGATTTAAAAGCAAGGCGTTTTAACATTCAAAAACTGAAATTTTCGCCGTTTTGACTCCCAAATAGTTACAGAAAACGCCAATACACGCGTTTTCGTGCGTTTTTTAAGGAGCGTTAATGGCTCACAATCGCGGTTCCCGTTTGTGCGTTTAAATGCGTTTCTCAAAATTTTTGTCTGACTGGGTATACTTCTCGTAATATTTCCGCATTTCGATGTCTTTTTCTTTTATTCTTTTTATGTAACCCTTCGCTATTTTGATTTTAAGACATGGAAAAAAATCTTCTCTGTCATACAAACTTATATGTTTTCCCTATAATAAGAACTAGAGAGCTGAAAATTTAGGGTAATATTCATCTAATTACAAGAGATGAGATTTCCAATTTTGAACATTTTTGAACTTACAATACGGGAGAACGAACAATTTTTCTAAGAACGATCAAATCTTTTGGATCACTCTGAATATCTTCTTCATTTATCATTCTAAAAATACTTTTCTTTAATATGATAAAATTCAGCTGTACTAAGAAATTTTTATTAAAAAGTCCAATTCATAATATTTGTATTAGCGGTTTAATTATTTTGTTCAAAATGAGATTTTTATATGTGATTAGGTGAATGGATAAAAAATAAATGCTTGGGGTAATAGATAAATAAAACACAAAATAAAAAATAAACAAGCAATCCTAGCCTATATAGGTAATGTTCATACAGATTGATGAAAAAAAGAAA